TTTCGAGAGATCGGAACTTTTATAAACAACTCGTAAAAGTCTAACCATTTTATTGTTGATTTTATCTTAAGCAACACATGCACCCATGCCCATCGTTTAATATTAAAAGTTTATTTTGTTAATTAGCTAGTCGGTCCTATTTCAGTCTTTTTATAAACAAAAATCAAAAGTTATTTTACATCTCGAAACTCGTGCAAGAAGCTCATGTTAAATCTCTAAATCTCAATCATACCTTCTCTGTGGGAACGATCTCGGTACTTTGTACCACTTTATTACTTGCAAGCGATCATAGTGTCGGCGTATACTTGCACCGACATTGTGCGGACATTCTGCCCACTAGGAATATGCGAACGATCCTAGCCTGTCAATTATGCAAGTACCCTTCTAATCAACGTTAAAACTTACGTTTTTATAATTTTAAGGTGTAATTTAAATTGATTCTGAAATAAATAAAAATTAATATAGCAACACGTTTGTACTGTATACAACATTATTTATTTAGTTTAATTTAATATATCATGCTAATAAAATAATATAATATTGTTTATATATTCTAAAATAGAAAATGATTAAATACACTTTTTATATACCAAATAATTATTATTCTTTCTCTTTTTGGAATTATGACACGAGTTTAATCACATGTGCATTAAATACGACACGTCATATGGTTTATATATAATTGATTTTTGGTTATCCTTTTATTTCTATATTGTATTCAAGAAAAAACAAAGAATATTATGTATTAAAAGCTTGTCTTGTATGTGATTAAACGTAAAAGTAGACATACCTGCTTGTGAGCATTTGGAAGGAACATAAACATCATGGTAACTCTTCTTGATATACTTACGCTTCTACTTATGAAAACTTAACAACCAACGACAAGCTTGAGATAACAAAACGTAAACAATAAATAAAGAACTAAATTAGCAACTTCCTTAAATTCCCAATTCATAAACAACTAGTGTAACTTTGAAGAGCTTAAACCAAGTGGTAAGTATAACAACAAAATCCAATCTATTGAACACCCAACATGGTAGAGGTGAGCATGGACAGAAAAAGAGAAAAAAAAAAGTAAAGGAACCATAAAAAAGAAACTTATTGGTGGCACCATGTGTTTAGAGTTGCTGATTTGATTCTTTTGGAGCAGCAAAATCCATAAGTCCTCTAATACGTCACCAACAATATGAAGATATTTGTTAAATCAAACAAAATGAGAACATAAGCATCCTTTTCTTGACGACGGGTGTATAAATTTGGCCATTATGTACCTCAGTGATGTGGGCATTAGTTAGGCAACAAATATACCGTTACAACATAATATTCTGAAAATTCAATTTCAAAATCTTTCTCAAAAATTGTGCATTACTAATATTCTCTTTGTTATTTTCTTCAATAGTGTAATACAAAAAATTGGTCTTACAATACCTTGGTGATATTTGTTAGTTTAAGCAAGAGAAAAGCAAACATTAGTATATTTTATCCAAACCTATCATGAAAATACATGAAGGAAGATGGAGGGAATCCACGATCAGATTTACTTCTCAAGCTTGTTAGTAATGCATTTAGTGTTTCATTTGTGGCAGATGATACCTCAAAACAGAAGCACACAAGTTGTAAAAAATGAAAAATAACTCACTACATATTTATGATATTTAATAATATGATTAAATTTAAATATTTGATATTGAACTTGTTTTGAAAGTATTGATGAGACGATTATAATAGTACAATTTGTAAAAAAAATGTATTTTTTTCGTTTATATATGATTATTCATGTTAATGTGATAATGATATAAAATCAAAAAATAGAAAGAACAAGATATAAAGTAAATTAAATAAGTAATTATTAGAGTATTTAAACATTAAAAGTTATTTGATTTTTAATATAATCTTGAGATCGTGGAGGTTTGATGGAGGTTGTGTGTTGTGCAACTTTAAATTTGTACATTAAGAGCGTAAAATAAAATTTTAAAAAATAAAGGATATAGAATAAATACATTAAATGTGTATATCTCATTTGAAATTAGAATATGTAAAAAAAATATTATATATCACTCACAAGACATAATTAATGAAAAATAAACAATTCTTAAAATTATAAATTAATTAATTAATAATATATTCAGATATAAAATTGGTTATTTAATGTTTTTTTACCACCAACAATATTTGTTAAAAAACCAAGAAAGCATGATCACGTTCCTTCTCGTGGACGTCATCATCGACTTGAAACACCTCTTGGACAAAAGACTCTATATCGATCATCTTCTTATTTACATCCATGTCCTCCTTATCGGACGGTCCAGGTACAAACGGAGGTCTACAGATTTCTAAGATTTTCTCCCAATCAACTCCCCGGAAGAAATCGTGGCCCTTGATCTCCGCCGCTAATATTCTCTGTTTTGGATCCTTCACCAGCAATTTTCGAATCAAGTCTCTCAACGGCGTCGGTTCTCCGACCAGCTCCGGCGACTTGGACAGAATTTGGTAAAAAGTCTCCTTCCTGTTCATTCCTTTGAACGGAGTTTTACCGTACAACATCTCATGCAAAACAATGCCTAAACACCACCAGTCCACCGAGAAATCATGGCCGTTGCCTTGTAACATTTCCGGTGCAACGTATTCTTCAGTTCCGACGAAGGAGTTCGATTTTGAGAATGAGTGATGAGTCTCGTCGCAATTCGGTTCTGAGTTGTCGATCGACTCTGTTGGATGTACCGAGTCTTCCGCCGATATAGCAGGGCGGCAACATTTGTGGAAAAATGAAAATCGATTTGTGTTCTTCATTGGTGGCTCAGATTTTGGTAACGGCGTGGTTTTTGATGATCGAGTTTTGGATGGAGATTTAGGCGACAATTTGGTCGAAAGATCGAAATCGACAAGCATTAGATGTCCGTTTTCCTGAATCATTACGTTTTCTGGCTTCAAATCTCTGTAAACGATCCCCAATCCGTGAAGATACTCCAATGCAATTACCAATTCTGCAGCATAAAACCTAAAATCACAAAATGAAAACGATAGTTACACAATCACAACGATAACACCAGCAGACTCAATCGACTGAATTCGCTTCAATTAGCGTCACCGACCTGGAACTGAAATGTGTGTTCATTTGTATCGTCTACGATCATAATTCCAAAAGAACTTACGAAATTTACCTGATTGTATCATCGGAAAACATTCTCTCCGTTTGTTTCTTAAGAAGATAATTGAGATCACGTCCAGGACAATAATCAATGGCGTAGCCAACGATACTCTCAGTGGACAAAACACCACGGAGTTTCGGTAACAATGGATGTTGTGACAATCGCAACACCTCCTGCTCAAAGAAACCTTGCTTACACTCACAACCACCGCTATCCGTCGTCTTCTTAAGTTTCTTTGTAATGGAAGCTCTCAAAATCGTCTTCAAAGCAAACAATTCACCATTGGATGACTGATCTTGTACCAGAAACACAACGCCCCTGGCTCCTCGACCTAGCGCCGATACCACTTTCAATTGGCCGAGATGTAGCACCGGAATTTGATCGTCGTCCATGGCGATTACAGGTACAGCTACCAACTCTTCTCTGCTGCGTTGATTGAATTAGGGTTTTTAGGTTGACTGATTCAATTGTATTTTATTGAAGAAGAATTGGTTTTCCTTGCTGAGGAAGTATGAAACACACAGTTGGTATGCGAAAGAGAGTAGCTCCAAAGGGGATATTGCTTAGCTATGATGACACATAACAATAAAAAAGTGTCAACAAAGGCTTTATATGTGTCTTCTCTATAAAAAAAAATAAAAAAAAGTAATTAAATTAATGTGTACATGTGTTGGGTTCGGTTTATGAGTTGTTTGTGAGTTGAGTCAGGCTAAGAGGTTTGTTAAAGAAGGATTTAAGGAGTATGAAAAAAAATCTTAAAAAATGTTTTTTATCATAAGAATAAAATTGAATAAAAAAATACATATGATTTAATCAAAACAATTAATTTGAATATTAAATACACATAATTTTCGATAGATTGATATTATTTAGTTTATTATTTATAACCATAAGGGTAATCGTACAATGTAGCGAGATATATCTCGATTTTAATGTTTCATTTTATTTATTTTCTCTATTGATATAATACAGTTTTACGTGGTTTTAGAAAACGATAATATTTTTATTTTGAACAAAATATAAATTTGAAAAAAAAATGTATAGATATTAATATTAAATTAACTATTTAAAATTTTCTTTAATTCAATTTTTCATTATAATTTAATAATAAAAAATTATTTTTTTAATAATATAATTTTTATAAAGATTATAATTAGGTATTCTGTTAAAATTTAATGATTTTCCTAATTATAAATTAGTTTTTATATTTAAAATGAGATGTTTATCTTGTACTGATTATATATGCAGTTAGTTACACGAATTAAAAAATAAAGCTTTAATAAATTGTATTTATACACAATTTACTTGTAATATTGATTTTTAAGTAATATGAATCAATATACAGTACTTCATGCATAAAATATTGTTTTTAAGAGTTTTTGTCAAATGTTTTATAATAGTAGAAAAGTACTCACGCAATGCAGCGAGATACATTTCGATTTTAATGTTCTATTTTATTTTTTGTTTCTGTCGATGTTATAATATGATTTTATGTGTTTTTAAGAAAACAATAACGATTTTATTTTTGAATAAAATATAAATTTGAAGATATCATAAAATTTCGAAAAAAAAAATATCAACGTTAATATCAAATCAACTATATAAAAGTTCTTATTTTTTATATAATTTATTTTTTTATTATAATTTAATTTAAGTTTAATAATGAAATAATTTATTTTTGATTTAATAATATAACATTTTATAAAAGATAATAATTAAGTATTCTGTTAGAACTCAATGATTATTCTAATTATATTTTAGATTTTTTATATTTAAAATGAGATGTTTATTCTGTATTTGATTATGTTTATCTACAGTTAGTTACACGAATTCAGATATGGAGTTTTAATAAGTAGTACTTACGTACAATCTACTTGCAATCTGAAGTTTTAAGTAATATACATCAATAAACAGTATTTTACGTATAAAAAGTGGTTTTTAAGAGTTTTTTGTCAAATACTTTATAATATAGTATAGAATATACACAGAATTATCAATAAATTGATATTATTTAGTTTATTATTTATAATATGTAGCATCGTTAATTCGATTAACCTTATTTTTACATTGATTATCTCATCAATGTCTTCAATAAATTCAAATTTAAAAGCTTTTTTAGTCAAATGTCATGAGCGCATGTATTGTCAACAAAATTGGTTACAAAATTTGAAAACATTAAAGTAGTAATCTGTAAACTAAAAAATTCGTACGTAAAATCAATTAATAATTATTTTAAAATTAATATTATGTATTAGAATATTTTTATGTAGCATCATTAATTTATTGCATCAGTAAAAACATTATATGATATATTTTTGGTACATAGAATAACATCATTTGGGATCACAATGTTAATTTTTCTGATTTTCGAGTAACACTATGTAAATCAATGTAAATAAGTTTGTTTTCCATGTCAGCTCATGTTAATGTTTTTTAACATCATTTTAAACTTTATACTATGTTCTCGAATTTGGGAAGAAAATAAAACAATGAGAAAGGAAAAGAAAAAAAAAAGTTTTTTATTTGTGTTTTTGATAGAGAAAAAAGAGGAACGAAAAATAATGAAATAAAAATAAATTTTGACGTAATTTTTTTTCTTTTAATTTCCCTAAAAAAATCTTGAAAACAGAATATTTTTCTTCTCCTGTTATTTTCTTTTCTTCGTAAAAGTGAGCTCAAGAACATAATAAGGTTAAATCAAACTTTTCTAGAATCATTAATCTTATAAATACAAAAACTCATTTTTGTTATAGTTTAAGATCTTATTCTTCTTTTAAAGATAAAATAATATATAAGATTATGCACTCAATATTAGATAATAAAGAACAAGTATGAAAACACAGTTATAATTTTAGTATTCTAAATATAAATATAAGTTGTATCGTCTCATATGATTGATAATTTTTTCAAAAAATAGGGGCTTTGTTAGCTAATAACAAGAAAAATCTATTATACTCTGATACAAAAATAGAATTCATGTGAAGATGATATAAATCAAAAAAGTCGATAGGAGATGAATTATGAAGAATATATATATCAAAGTTTTCGAGGCAAGTAGTTTTAGACGTCGGTATTATAAAATCGGGCCCCTAGTTTTTGTAGGCCCTGGATGTACGCCCTGCCCGGCGCCCGCCCTCCCAGGAACGACGCTGCTCAAAATTTTCAACTATTGCAAATTCGTATGGACACCTTTTAATTAAAAAAAAAATCATTCATATTTACATTTATCACATTATTATCGTAATAGATATTAGCAGAATAAATGTCTCGTTGGTTCATTATTATTTGATCATTTAAGAATCCAAAGATACTTTCAAATTTCTTTAAACGTTGAAGTCTACTATTCAATGGTGAAATTATCACATTCACAATAATTATAAGAGTAAATTGTATGAAAAAGATAATGTATTTTAACTTGATTTCAATTTTGGAAAATGTATTTTCAAAACTTTCATTTTGTTACATGAGATGTAAAGTTTTAAACATTTAAGTACATGTATGACCTGTTGAAGTATTACCCATCCATCTAGTCTAATCAATATTTGGTTTAATAAATATTTTGATTGTTCTCTAATTCAACGTGTATTTTTCATAAATATCCAGATCATAATAAATAAATTTTAATCATTTTCATAAATATTTTATTTGATTGATTTATATCGTTTGTACTAATTAGGTGTTTTGTATTTGAAAAACTCCATTTTCATGCTCGGTATGAACTTTACAGTTCTATATTTTCCAAAACAATTCATTACACCTTCAAATTGTTCCATGGTAACATTAATCTTACATATATTTAAATACAACTTATATTAACAGTTTTTGTGACAGATATAAAAACATATCAGTCTCTGATGTTTAGTTCAATTGACAAAAGGGTGAGGTTATCTTTGTCCAGATGTAAAATCATATTAAGTAGAAATTCAAATTTTCAATTGCACTGATCTTGTTTGAGGAGCTTGAATATTTTACTCGACTCGCTCGACATATGTTATACAAAGATTTTACAGTTATATTTGAAATTGATCACGTAACTAACGAAACAAATGGGCTTGGTGGAAATGAAGGTTCGGCCCAACCCAAAATAAATGGACTTTTAACGTATTCGTTCTTAAAATATGAAGTCATAACTCGACCAATTATTTATCGAATTTCATTAAAAAAATTTGTGTGGATTACTGTGTAGGTTGACGAGCGGTAAATGATAAATTTGTTCAGATGAATGCATACGTATTTTGGTTTTAATTGGATAAATGATATATGTATTGTGAAACTCTATACAAAAAATTGTTACAGAACAAGTGTTTTATCACTTGATGGAGAAGTACAAGCATGCACGTGATTTTTTTTTATGTGCGCATGTGGACCGACATCAATACGTCGAAGTCGCTGGCAGACGAAAGGGACGTGCCAATGAAAGCGTATCGGTTGTACTCGGGATAAATACATGTCAATTTGGGCTTCTGAAATAATGAGTCCACTATGTTATAGAAAACCACATAGTTTATTGTATTTTTATTCTCATTGGTTACTGTCTAATACCTTTAATCAAACACCCCCTAAATTTACAGGATCAAATTGGACATAATTAAATGTATATGCATGTATGTGGTAAATGTGGATAGAGTTATACTAAATGAGTGCAATACATTTATGATCTCTAAAACGACATTAAATCCCGTCTACCATTTTGTAATTTCAAAGTCATATTCAATTTAGTCTGATACAAGTGTTGAACCGTAGGCAATCTACATACGCTGCGAGCATTATGATCACACAAATTAAGGTGAGTTGGTCAATGACTTCGGATGTCACGTTCGACATCGTTTTTGATGTATCCTAAGTTCGTCATCTTTGTAAAACGAGTTCAAGAATGACTTGAAAAGTAACGCATATCGAAATGTGAATTTAACTCGTACTTTCAAAAAAACGCACCACGATGCAAGGTACGTCTCTAATGCAAGTTATAACCTTTGTAACGGTTGCATACGGCGTGACACGTTCCATGACGATTCGTGCAGTTCAACACAAGTTTTTAACAAATTATTTGACTCTTTAATTACTTTTTTGAAAGCTTGTCTTGTTTTTACTTATTTACGTTCTTATAAGCCCCTTAATAACAGTCCTGTCATAAACTCCATATATATATATATATATGTGTGTGTGTGTGTGTGTGTGTGTGTGTGTGTTTTTACGAAATACAAAATTTTATCGTAAATCAATGATCAACAATCAATATAATCTATATATATATTAAAGAAGAAACCAAACATAATGAGGTGGCATCTTCTAATGCTTAGAACTTCTCCTATCTTTTTTCTCAATTTTTTGATTTTTTTAAATGTTGAATATATTAAAGACTTTTCTACCCCTGTATAAAGAATGTATAGTTCATAATTAATTGGGGTTTTTTGTAATTTTGTATACCCAATTTTAACCTCCAACTCTTGATTTGCTCTTTCATTTACTTTCTTTTATTTCTTAATGAAATTTGTTTTTCAA